GGCACTGCAACCCCTTTTTGATTTTGGAGTGGAGGAGTCCCCCTCATTTAAACTAGAAAATAATAAACAACAATAAAACTTGCAATTAATTTCCATTCACCTCATTTAAAAATAAACACAAAATATGATACATTAATTTCTAATTAACAAGTAGTTTTTATTGTAAATATATTTAATGGAAATGTAATTTAACATTAAAAATGGAAATATAATAAACTGAATTTCAGAAGAGGAGAGGAGAGGAGAGGAGAGAAGAGAAGAGGAGAGAAGAGAAGAGAAAGGAATTCAAAAGGGAAAATACATTTGATGAGGTTGCACTCTTTGAGCCGAACCACAAGATAGGATGACAGCTAGAAGAAGACTATGAAAATAACTAAACACGACAATTCATGAAAGCAGCTGAAGCCAGAAGCAGCAAAACATACTAGAAGGAACTGAAACAGAAAAAAAGAGGGCTTTTGAAGGCCTTAAGAAGGATAAGGTCCTCACCACAAGTAACTGATGAGAAATTGACAAAGAATTTTTTACTGTGATCTCTTTGCTTCAAAATATTCATCCCCCAAACCAACATTTAGATGACATCTCCACAAACAAGTGAGTAGACTGGTCCTTTGAAGCTCTCCAGAGAAGGAAAGAATGGGAGATCACCTATGAGTGCTCTGAATGGTAGCTCCTTGCAAGGAGACCGTAAAACAGCAGTCTCCCATGAGTTTGAGCACCAGGAGCTGAGGGAGATGACATCTTTGCTCAGAGTAGCAGCAGAGCCTTTAATAAAGACACTAAGCCAGCTGAACTCACTTTTCAATCACATTGGAAATGTTCAGTTTAACCACTTTATGGATATTAGAAACCTTGACACCTGGTGAATTTTACCTTCTTGGATTTAAGAAATCTTAAATGGAGATTTAATAATTTAAAATAATATATAATTGGCAAAAAGCAAAAAAAAAAAAGGATTTTGATTTAAGAAAGTTTTAAATGGATTATGAGACCAGAGAGATTTGGAATATTGGTTATTTTTGCTGTAAGATTTGAAAAACAAGTATATGATTAAATAATATAGTTGTGGGAAACAACTGAAAAGGAACTAAACCCATATTAAGAACTGAAGATTGCAAATGGACACTAGAGGGAACTAAAGGACTAGGCAGAAAGGAGTTAAAATGGCTAAGTTGCCTATAATCTTATCTTAAAGAGTTTTTTGAAACATGAACTGAGATATTAACAACTAGTATCTCAGATTTCTATGCATAAATTTTTAGAAGATAATGAGAAAAACTCTTAAAAATTTTTACCTGACATAGACATTATAGAGTTTGAAGGCATGGAAGACAACAAAATTGAGATTACCAAAACAGGAATACAAAAGACAAATCAAGAAAAGGATCTGGACACGGAACAGCTGTGACAAGAAATCCTGGACGATGCCTCTTTATGGGATTTACAGAGTAGCCTGGCAAAAGCTTTGAAGACTCCTCTTGAATGCCAAAGATTAATGAAAGATCAAATCCTGCAATGCCATTGGAATGATTTAAAGGCTAAGACTGTGAAGAACAAAAAAAAGGAATGTAAAGTTGAACGATTTGATCAGGTACAAACTATTTGTTTGATATTTCTAGGGGACCTAATGGACTTTTTGCTGAACAAGGACTGAAAAGATGACAATTTCTAGACAAAATTCATTACTAATTTTATTCTATAGAGAAAAGTTAGGCTATGGGGAGAAGAGTCTTTTTTCATTTGTAACTTTAAGAGGGTGAAAAGTTATTATATTAGCTTATGCTTGGTGTCATGAAGGTTGGAAGCCACTTATTATTGTCTTTGTTGCCTTTTTCTTTTCTCTTCTACTTATTTCTTTTCTTTCCTTTTGTTTTTCTTTTTCTGCACCTTCTGAACTTTTTTCTTTTTTCTAGTTTAGCTTGTATTAGTTTTTACTGTTCATTAAAAACTTCAATAAATTATTAAGAAAAAAAAGCAGAAAACCAATTGCAAAACCAATTCTGCTCATACCATGAATGAAACTAGACCATGAGCCATTAGAAGATGTCAGTTCCTACATTTACCTCAGCTAAGAATTTCACACAGTCAACCAAATGATTTTATACTGAAAACTGCTCAGCTTTAAGTTCATAAAAGCAATGCTACAACAGATAGGAAACACCAAAGCAAGAGCGGGCATCTTCGATGCCATGGTTATGCTAGTAATGATCAGTGGCTACAAAGTGTGGAAACTAAGAAAATCAGAAACGGAAAAGCGTTTAGTTACATAGTGCACAATGGAGAGATCTCATTCACAGATGAATCCAAAATGTAGAATTTTGTGGCAAGACCAACTTAAAGTAGCACTAACTCAGAATTACAAGTGGGCAGGACATATTGTACAACTGCCTGGCAACAGATGGGCCTGAAAAACCACATAACTTTGTACACCTCAAGGTCTATACCAGTGATTCTCAACCTTTTTGAAGCTGCCGCCCCC